ATCATCATCATTAGAACTAGAGCTAGAGCTAGATTTATAACAATCAGTATAGAAAGGGGGGTCGGCCAGTACCTCGCAAATGGAATCCTCGGAAGAAGAACAAGGATCGAATACCTCAAAAGTTTTACCCGGTTGATGACACAAGCTTCCTGCTTCGAGGACATAGATCTTTCCATCAATTTCTGCCACGATCGGCCGCGATTTTGAACCTCTCAAAGAGATGTTTGCTTTCTGCAAGCTATTTGCAATTGGATCGAATTCGTGAACTTCGGCCGTGCAAGAGTAGCCAGTAGTTTTCTCGCCGACCATGTAGATCTTGGATCGGCTGGATTTGATAACACGCAACCCATACGGATAGTTCTTTCCATATTCCAAGGAAACCGCTGCTTGTGGCGGAGGCTCTCCTGATTCTAACAAGGGATCGAAATTGTAGTTTTTCAGATCCAGGCGGAGGAGGGAGCGCGTCGTGCTTACGTACAGATCCTTCATCTCGCCCATTTCTTGCAGCCGCTACAGAACAAGTCACGCTAGGGTTCGGGCTTCCCTTCTTCCAGAAAGGCTATATTATATCGGATACCTGAACCGACTAGAATCGAAGAACCAGATTTAATTTTTCAGTCCCTCATTCATTATTTGTCCAAATTTTATTTTCAATAATGCGCTATATTAGTACACCCGTGTACCAAAAGTGTACCACAATTTATATTTCAAAAAGAAACGCATCCATATTTTTATAGTTTACACTAGTATAAAATGTTAGTTCACTCAAAAAAATTGCACTGATATTTTTTGTCAATATAAACCATCACACTTGCATAAAATGTCACTACATGTGTTTAGGGTACAAAATAAGATATATAAATTTTGGTGTATAAATAGCTTAAGAAACTCTTTTTTTTGGGATTGAGTGATGTTTACATAGTTTCAAAGTTCACATTTGTAATGTGATCTTACTCACGTATTCCTTCTATTTGTACAAAGTACTCCATAAAATATTTTCTTTTTCATTTTTTTCATTTTTCCCATTTTTTTCATATTTTTTTAAAAAAATTAATTTAATCCCTACTTTTTCTTACACAACCTAGCACATCATACCTTTTAATTAATAATCTACCTATCATACCAAAAGAAAAAATTAGAAAATCCTATATTTCTTATTTTACACATTAGTCAATTTAGGAACTGTTTTTTTTTTTTTTGAAAAAAAAACTTGCACTATATAGGACTATAACATAACTCATTCTCAATTCAGGACTTAAATTTCTTTAATCTTTTAATACTCCGTAAGACTTAATAATGTCAAGGAATAATATCCAGTGATGATAGATATAGTGGGACGGATGGTGTGTAAAAATGAAAGTGGACAAATATATTGGGACGAAAGGAGTAATAACTAATAGTCCTAAATTGAGAAATAAAAATATACGTAGTATAGCCTTATATTGAGAAAGTCATTATGTTTGGTTTTATTTATATATATATATATATATATATATATATATATATATATATATATATATATATATATATATATATATATATATATATATAAAATTTCCCTTTTAAAAAATAGTGAGTCTTTCATAGACTTTTGTGAGTTTTTTCTTTTAGCAAAAGACTCACTTCTTTAATCCTACAATTATACTAAAATTCATAAAATAAACATAAAACTTAAGTTCACAAAAGAATTTCTCTTTTGGACTAGAGTTTCTTTAATTGAGTTGACAGTATTTTTCCCAAAAATCTAAACCTAATTTTCTAATCAGGCATGTTAGGGATACACTAAAATAAGGTATCTCATTTATACACCATGCAAACACAATATAATTTCCTAATGAAAATGGAATTAGTGAAATTTATTTAATGCGTTTTTATTTAATTACCAAAATTAATACCATGTGTTTTTATTAATGCCGTGTGTATTTTGAGGAAATATGATGTAATTCAGGCAATTATTACCTTAATTAAGGAAATATACTAATGCATGCTTCGAAACGACACATCATTAATTCAAGAAAAAAATAAAATTTACAAACTAAAAAATAATGGTTTAATAAATAGCGTAATTTTTAAACATTAAAAAAAGGAATTATATTAGTGCATGCTTTTAAAACGAGCCATCACTCTATTCTTAAAAACAGAGGAATTATTTTCCCGCCCTATTCACTCATCTACTGGACCGTCGATATCAAGGAACAAACAAGATCTACGGTAATGATTGGTTGTGTAATATTACCTATTTAGAATGATAAATTAAAGGAAATTTTGCAGGCATAACCACTCTATTATTGTCAAAAAGGAAGGGAGTAATTTGTTTCCTAACCAATTTTGCCTAATTACTTGATTGTGATAAAAAAGAAAGGGACAGTGCAAGAGATTTTTTATATTTTGTTTCCTATTTAAATAGGTAATTATTTACGCCTAATTATTACTATTATTATTATAATTACTTTGAATAATATTTTTCCATAAAAGGTAATAATCACGTTAAGGTGTAAATTTTTAATTAATGCATTAAATGTATAGTTTCGTAATTTATATAATTTCCAATTAAGAAACAAACCATTTTAATCATACAAACCATTTGTTTCCTTTTCCAATTTAGAAACAAACCATTTTAATCATACAAACCATTTGTTTCTTTTTGGGAAACAAATCGAATCTAAAAGGAAATGTCAAAGTAATACATAGAAATGGTGGTATGTATAGTAAGTATTGAATAAATAAATGATAATTAAATCATAAATCACCATGTAATAAGAATAGACCATGTATTACCGTGTAACAAGAATAATATGAATATATCGTGTAATAATATTGTTGTATTTAATTATTATTAATTTATTACCATGTAAGAAGAATGTAATAATATACTGTGTAATAAAATTACTGTACTTAGTCATTATTATCGTCTAATAATTCTAATCTAAGAAGATTTCAATTTAAAAATGTTTCTTTTCAAAGAACATGGCCAAACTTAATATTACTATATTTAATCATTATTAATTTATTACGGTGTGATTATGTTAAGAAAATAAACTTTCAATTTAATTATGTTTCCATTTAGAGATTCGGTGCCAAATATTTTATGAAGAAATTAAATTTAAATATATAAGTTTATGCATTTAAGGAAGGCACAATTATAAAAATCAAAATAAAAAATAATCAAAGAAATTAAATATAAAAAATGTCAAAGTAATACATAGAAATGGTGGCACACATGTTAAGTGTTGAATATAGAAATAATAATTAAATCATAAATTACTTTGTAGCAAGAATAAATAATGTATTACCGTGTAGAAAAATCATAATACTAACATACCGTGCAATAATATTAATGTATTTAATCATTACTAATTTATTATCGTGAAAGTTTAATAATAATAATAATAATAATAATAATAATATAGCGTGTAATAATATTATCGTACTTAGTTATTATTATCGTGTAATAATTTTAACCAAATAAGCTTTAAATTTAAATATAATGTTTCCATTTAGAGATCCAGACCCAAACGTTTTATGGAGAAATCGTTTTAAGAGGTGTGCCTTTCATACATGGAAACGTATTAAATAATTTATACCTTTATATGTTGAACAATCAACCACTAATTAATAACTTACCCGAAAAAAATTAGATGCATGGAAATAGAAAAATACTTTAATTTTTTCATACTTTAAATACAGTCATTCTCAAATCTCAATCACTTTCCATTATTAGCCTCTTTCAAATTTTTTGAATGTCTTACACTATCTTGAGTTTTTAAATAAGATTCATGTTTTCGAAGTAGCAAATCATGAAGAAGACTTTAAATAAATAAATGTTTTAAAAGTTTGATGTATAAAAATTATACGAGTAATGTAATTTATAAAGAAGTCTTTTGTTATTTGTAAAACAATTAACTTTTGTACCTTAAAATAATAAAATCTTTATATAATACTTCCTCCATCCCGAAAGAAGTTCCCTCATTGACTTTTCGAAAAATTAAGGGAGAAATATTTTGGTGTTGATTTTCCAAAAATACCTTTGATGTAAATGATAAAAGTAAAATTTGATAGATAGATTATTTGTAAAAAATGTATGATGTGATAGGTAATGTATGAAAAAATAAGAGGTAAAAGTAGTTTTTTAACAGAAAAAGGAAAGAGTTTGTGGACAAAGAAAAAATGAAAAGAGAAAATGTTTCAGGAACAGAAGGAGTATTAGATAAGAAATTGTATCATTCAAAAATGACCTTAATTTAGTAATATATGTATGACCCGTGCAACGCACGGGAGTGATGCTAGTAAAGACTAAAGAAAATGTAGTAAATGATAAACTAAAAATACGGAGAATGGTTCTCTCAAGTCTCAAGAAGAGATCATCTTAACCAATTTTTCACATTTGCGGAATTTGGGACACCAAACACTACTATGGAGTATCAATTCTCATCTCGCATCTCACATCTCATCTCATGTTACCAAACTAAAAGTCATGATTATTAATAATAATCTCGCCCTAATTACACCAATTTTTATTAAATAACCCATTTGTTTTTAGTTTTTACACGCCTCTGGGCCTCAGATCCACGACCACAATGCTCAAATTATCGGAGCTATGCCGCGCCAAAGCCAGCTTCGTCAGCAGGATCGACGCGTCCCAGCACGACAGGTCGGATCCGTAACAGGCCTCCGATGCACTGGCCGGCGATCTCGCCGGAGACGACGGTGGTCTCCCGTGTTTCAAGCACATCCTGGCCACGTTGCACGCCGTCTCGCTCGACACCACGTCCCATAGCCCGTCGCTTGCCAGTATCAAACACTCGTCGTGCTCTGTTCTCTCCGTCACCGTCACCTCCGGCTCCGGTATCACGTAAGGCTTGAAGTAATCGTCTCCTGATTTATTAATTCAATATGAATCAGGAATATGTAAAAACAAAACAATAATAATAATATTAATAACAATTGGTTAATTGAGATGTATATATATACCAATTGCTCGAGACATGGCCAGTAATCCACCGACTCTAGGGACGTCCCAGTTGATGACGTAACCGCCGGCGTCTTGGATCCGTTTTAGCTCGTCGGGTCGATCCGGCTGTGTACAAAGCTCCGAATTAGTTTCACAGTCCCAATGGAAAATGTTTTTAAAATGGGAGGGAGTATTACCTTGTGGTCGTGGGAGAGTGGGACGGCGACACCTTTACGGCAGAGCACGGCACGTGAATCGCCGCAGTTGGAGACTACAATGCTGTCCGGAGTTACGACGGCGACGACGGCGGTGGAGCCGGCGTCACAGTGGAGGCTCTTCAGCTCGCAGCGGCAGCAGGAGCGGGCTCCGGCGGTGGGGCCGCTGGACATGTCGGTGATCTCTTGGTCCATTTTGGAGAAGCTCAGGGACATGGTATCCTTCCAGGTGGATCTGTTCCCGCTCTCGAGCTCCTCCTTCACGATCTCGTGCATTCGGTCCCTGCATTTCACGGCAACCTAGGATGCATCGACGACGGAACAGTGATCATCAGGAAACTCACAGGGGTAACTCGGTCATTAGCTCCTGATAAACTTTAGTTCGTGAGGACTTACATGGGAGCAG